CCGCCCTCATTACCACAGAAAACGATACCTTAAAGGAATTCTCCACGGAAAAAGCTCCGCCCTCATTACCACAGAAAACGATACCTTAAAGGAATCTTCCACGGAAAGAGTGATCATTTTGTCTTGTGTGTAGGATTAGTATTATCGAAACTAACGCTTATGTTCCGTTCTTTTTGCTATGCTCATGAGGCTAGGGGCCTAAGGGGTATCGTTTTTCTGTGGTAATGGAGGCGGAGCTTTTTCCGCGGAAGATTCCTTTAAGGCTCATCTTACGCACACTGTCATCGTTTCCACGAAGCACATGACCATACCATCGAAGTCGAGCTTCGCGCATCTTATCAGCAATAGGAGCTACACCAAAGCGATCGCGTATGGTATCATTACAATACGATCTAAACGCGTGACACCAGCCGTCCAGCGCAGCATTTTCGTCTCCATTACACCGAGGCGGGCTTCATTTCCTTAGTCGTGGGCCAGCACTCAGCGCCGTACATTGCCACTGGTCTTATGACGGTTCTATAGATCTTCGATTTCAGGCGTTCTGGAATCTTTTGTCGCAGAGAACACCCGTCATAGAACGCCACTTGGACCATGCAGCACTCACGCGTGAACTCACTTCAGTACCCATACTACCATCTGACGCTATTACCGATCCAAGATACTTGAACGTGGTCGTGCGTGATAGCTCTGTGCCGTTAATTCTTACCGAACTGTGTTCGCTCAAGTCGGTTGTCAAGTACTCGGTCTTTTTGACATTCAACCTGAGTCCGAACATCGCTAGGCGATCGGCCCAAGCTTGCACTTGCTGCTCGAGTGAGTTTTTGTCTTCGCAGGCGAGCATCACGTCATCAGCATAGAGAAGCGTCCATGGAGCCGGTTTCTGGAGATCTCGTGATATGGCATCCATGACGACAACAAAAGGAGTGGGGATAGTGCAGAGCCTTGGTGTACCCCAACAGATGGGAAATTCCATTGAGGTGCCTGCTGACGTTTGCACTCGGCTCTTTGGACTCGAGTAAGCATGCGAACCCACTCAATAAGCTCTTCGGGGACGCCATGTTGTCGTAAAGCGTACCATATTACATCACGCGGAACGCGATCGAAAGCCTTTTCCAAGTCTAGGAAGGCAAAATGCAGAGGCTTCCGTTTCTCGCGGTGTTTTTCTAGCAGTAGACGAGCGGCATGTATTGGCATCGATGGTACTAAGCCGCTTACAAATCCACACTGGTTCGTGGTGAGCTGCACTATGTCACGAATACGACGATCTACAATTCGCTCAAAGATCTTCATGCTGTGGGAGAGCAGGCGAATTGGACGGTAGCTCGTGCAGTCTGCAGGACTGCCCTTCTTCTTCCAGATGGGAATCGTCGTGCTCTGGCACTTTCTTCTTCTGCAACAACTTGGTTGAAGAACTTCGTCAACCACTCCGCAGGATGCCAGCACTGTGACTTCCACAGATCGGCTGCCAAGTCGTCGGGACCCGTTGCTTTACCTGTCTTCATCTTCTTCAGCGCCGCTTCAGTTTCTTCCACAGTTATCTTCGAGACGGGACCGTAGACGGGAGGAGCAGAAGGGATTGGCGGATGTGAGAATTCTACTGTCGAGATTTTCTCGAAGTAGTCGTGCCATCGCTTTACAGCCCTTCTGCGGTCCATTAGGAGCCGCCCGTTCTCGTCATTAATGCCGAAAAACTTCTCGATATCCTCGGTTTGGCGATGGCGAGCTTTGGCTAGTCTGTAAACATATCGTTCGCCATCGCGCGTCTCGAGTTTCTCGCTAACGCTGGCGAAGTGAGCAGCTTTGACGACAGCCACGGCTTTCTTTGCAGCCTTCTTCGCCTTCTGGTAGTTCTCCCACTTCTCGGCTGTTTTGTCGTTGAGGAACGTATGATGAAGTCTTTTCTTCTCGCACTTCCTTGACTGTGTCAGTCCACAGCCATGTCTGTTTGTCGATTTTCCGGCGCCCAGGCTTTGTGATGCCGAGTTCGTAATGAGCGACACGGATTATCGCTTCGTAGCACTTTTCCATGTTTCGTCGACAGTGGTTACTGTCGGTAAGCGAATGCGGGAAAACAGTGCAGATTCTTTTTCTTTCAGTCGCCACCACTTGATCCTTGCAGGCCCGCACCGTTCAACTTGCTTTACTTTCGGAGGAGTGATCTTCAGGGTGCAGATCAGTGGTCGGTGTTGCGTGGCGACCGTCTCGTACGGCACCGTCTTCGCGTCCGTCACTAGCCCTCTATCACGCTGCCTGACGAGGACAAAATCAATTTGCGTTCTGGTATCCCCACTGTAAAACGAGATGAGGTGGGAGTCACGTTTGCGATAGTTTGTGTTCACGATGGTGAGGTTGTGCGAGTTTGCATACTCTAGAATTCTCTCGCCATCGGCGTTTCGTGACCCATACCCAAATCCGCCATGACAGCTGTAACCATCTTTCGTAGCCCCCACGTGACCATTTAGGTCACCGGCAACAATTAGGGCATCCTGCGATGGTACATCAGCTGTTTTGTCATCCAGCAAGGCCCAGAACTGGTCCTTGGCGTGTTCGGAGCAGCCTGTCTGCGGAGCGTACGCAGAGAAGAAGTGATATTGACGTTGCTCAAAAGCGACAACGATCTTCATTAGGCGGTCATCGTAACGTTCAACGCTGACAATCGAGTCACGGAAACGTTCAGAAACGATAACACCGACACCGTTAGTTGTCCCGGGACTGCCACAAAGAATGGCTTTGAAGCCGCGGCCAATGTCCCTCGACTTGCAGCAGGACCACCTCGTTTCCTGCACGGCACAGAAATCAATTCGTCTCCAGAGCTTCTACCAACTCGTGGAGCGGCCCGTCAACGTGCCAACATTTAACGTTGCAACGCGAGTCTTCCATACGTTGCGGGACTTTTGGACTAGCCTAGTTGCCCCCCGATGCCGTCCTTGCACCGGAGACCCTCGCATACTTTTCACACTCGCCGGGCTTTGCGAGTGCGCGTCGGCTCCCGCGGACGCCATATGGCGACATTGACATTTGTGATGTGACGTGGGTGTTCGTAGGCCGGCCTGTCACGGGGGCCTGTCGCCTGCATTCGAATGTCCGTGTTCAGCTCAGCTCACAAAAGTGAGCAGTTCCCAGTGGCACCACTTGGAGGAACGGACACCACCACCAATGTGTGAAGATTATCTAAAATATAACAGTAGGATTTCGATCAGAACGACAAATAGTGGTTACGAAAAGAGAGCATTTATTCACTTTCCCCGTGAAGGAATTTAAAAGCATTTTACACTCGATTACGAGGTTTGCCCACCTATCTGTCCATTCCTAGCGCCTGGCAAGCGATTATCAGTTGGCAGCCCATATGGGCGGCCATCGGCGTGAATGTGTTGATATAGAGATATTTCTACACTATGCTGGAAAACCCTAGGACATCACCTTTCATCATCATCGGGAGTGCTCTCTTTCTATCGCTTTCATTCCTAGTGGCGCAGTACA